GGAGCTCCACCCCCTGCTCCTCCTCCCCGGCACGCTGGTCTGAGCGGCAGGGTAAGGGGGCCAGGGGGTCAGAGAAGGGGCAGGGAGGTTCTGGAGGGGGCAGTCAAGAGACAGGGAGCGGGGGGGGTCAGGAGTTCGGGGGGGCTTTCTGGGAGTGGGGGTGTGGATAAGGTTTTGGGCAGTCAGGGTACAGGTAGAGGGTAGGGTCTCAGGAGGGGGCAGTTAGGGGACAAGGAACAGGGAGGCTTAGGTAGGGGGTGCGGTTCTGGAGGGCAGTTAAGAGCAGGGGTCCCAGGAGGGGTAGTCAGGGGACAAGGAGCGGGGGGAGGGTTGGGGGTTCTGAGGGGGGCGGCAAGTGGGAGGGAGTGGAAGGGGCAGGGGCGGGGCTAGGGCAGGACGGGGGCGGGGCTAGGGCGGGGCTCCTCCCGTCCTCTTTTTTGCTTGCTGAAATATGGTAACCCTACCCAGGACAGATCTTTGGGGGACCCCGCTATTTACCTCTCGTTACTGTGGAAACTGACCATTTATTCCCACCCTGTGTTTCCTATCTTTTAACCAGTTACTGATCCAGGAGAGGACCTTCCCTCTTACCCCACGCTCAAGAGCCTTTGGTGAGGAACCTTGTCAAAGGCTTTGTGAAAGTCCAAGTACACTATATCCACTGGATCACCTTGACCACATGCTTGTTGACCCCCTCAAATAATTCTAATAGATTGGTGAGGCATGATTTCCCTTTACAAAAGCCATGTTGACTTTCCCCCAATATAGCATGTGTCTGATAATTCTGTTCTTTACTCTAGTTTCATCCAGTTTGCCTGGTACTGAAGTTAGGCTCACTGGCCTGTAATTGCCAGGATCGCCTCTGGAGCGTTTTTTAAAAATTGCCATCACATTAGCTACCCTCCAATCATCTGGTGCAGAAGCTGATTGGTTCTGCAATTTCATACTTCAGTTCCTTCCTTCCATCCCTGGTGGAATAAGAGATGTTCCCCCATCCCCAACAATGTGCTTCCCCAACAATGTGGATTTCTCTGGGCCTTATATTGTTGCAGAGGTAGATAAAACCCTATATGGGTGTGGGAAGGAGAGAGTTGCCATTTACTCCTCATGGAAGAAATTCTCTAACAGTTCATTCCAGACACACTATCTTTGATTTTTAAGGACAATTAGCCTTTATTCCAGCACCTGACCTAAGTTGCCTTTGGTTGTTTTTCCAGATGACAAGCGGACTGAAGGACAGTAAGGAAGGAATTTGCCTGCTGCTACTGAGAGGTGAAGAAGCTAAGACAGTGGATCCTTACGATTTTCCCAGAGGGTCTGAGAGGAGCTGCAAAGAGGAGACCTGTGCCAGGCCGATGACTAGAAAGCCAGGGGTTGGCACCACATGGCTGGCAAGTGACCAGGGTTCACTGAATTCAGTCTGCTAGGTTGGATCATTAGCTTTCCAGCGGTTAGCCAGGTACTGACAGAGGGCGCGACGTGAATGCTGATCCAATGCGTCCCAGGTGGACCTCGGCACCTACACAACATGCTCGGATCCAAGCTCCTGCCTATTTTGCAATGGGATGCTAAATTATATTATGCTGTTCAGCGAAAAGGCGGCAGTGTGTGTAAAATGCCGTATTTAAATGAACCTCAGCGATACCGGCCAGAGCACTAAAGGATCAAATCGGAACTGGTGAAACCGCAATACCTAGAGAAACTTTACAAACCTGAAAACCTGAAACTAGCTTAGGCCATGTCTACACTTACAAGCTGAGAGCTCTCCCGTCAACATAATAACACCAGCTCAACAAGCGGCGGTAGCTACGTCAGCAGGCGAGCATCTCCCACCGACATAGCACTGTGCACGCGAGCGCTTATGCTGGCAAAGCTTATCTCACGCAGCGGTGTGTGGTTTTTTCCACACCCTGAGCAACAAAAATTTTGCCGGCATAAGTGCTAGTGAAGACCTGGCCTTAGAAACTGTAAACAGAGTTAAAAGTCATTATCATAAAAGCCCCGAGGCGAGCAGAGAGAATTCCTAGGCTAAGAGGGACAAATTCCAGCTGATTTACACAAAGTGTGGAAAAAGTCATATCCCAAGAGATGATGCATGTCCAGCCAGAGGCGCATGATGTAATCAATGCAAGAAAGATGGACATTTTGCAACTGTTTGCCACACCAAAGCAGTCAGGGAGTTGACTCATACTACAGACAATCAAGAGCCATTGTTTCTGGGATCTATCACCTGTGATGACACAGAGCCTGTCTGAAGAGTGAAACTGAATATTCATGGCAAGATGATTGACTTTAAAATTGACTCAGGAGCTGATGTCACAGTCATCTCAGAATCGCCTTGAGCCCCTTCCACAGCTGAAGTTACCTGACACAACTCTGATTAGCCCTGGAGGAATTCTGAGCTGCTTGGGCTAGTTCACCACAGAAACAACTTACAAAGACGAAAGCTATGCATTCAGAGTGCATGTGATCAAAGCCCAACAACCTTCTCAGCTGTAGCGTAGCAGCCATGATGGGCCTAGCGAGGAGAGTGGAAGAACTCAATGAAGAATTTAATGAGATTGGACTTTTGAAAGGAGATCCAGTACAAATCTACGTAAGAGACAATGCTGAACTATACCGTGTACGAACATCTCTACCAGATGTAGTAGAAAGAGTGAGCCTGGAGCACTGGGCCTGGTGCGAGATCTGAGGCCTGAACCAAAGGCTGTGAACCAGAGGACGCCTGGCCTTGGCAAAATAATAACACACTAAATATTTACATAAATTACATCTTAGATAAATACGTTTCAGAAGGCTCATACAGATACATCCCAATCTAGACAGGATAAGATGATTTGACAGAATAATGAACAGGCATGTTTTATCCGACATATCAGGAACAAGGGGAGGTAACAAACAGATGTCATGAAGCATGCCAGGTGGTACATAAGTTGTTTATCCTAATTGTTTGGCTCAGTCTATAAATGTCAGGGTTCCTCGCCTTGATCCTTTGTGTGGCCTAGGAGACAGCAGAGACTCCTGCTGCTGACTGAATGGCTCCTTGCCTCTGGGCACTCATGCATTAGTGTACCTGTAACCAAGGAGCCAAGATACTAGGACTGTGCCTTGAGAGCAATAAACCTGGCCGAGTGCCTATGTCAGCAACCCTTGCCTATTGTCTTAATTGAGGTCTGCTGAATTAGCAGGCTGCACTATCTGCTAGCACTGATAATACTGGAGCTCCAAGGGCAGAAAGGCTCCCACGGTCCAGTGTGCAGAGCTGAGATTTGCCCCTGGATCCACAAATCAAGTGAATGCATTTTCATCGACTCCAAAGCCAGAAGAGAGTGTTAGCCCTGGGCTCCACGACAAACTTATGTCAGTATAACTAGGTGGATTTTCCACACTCCTGAGCCGCGCTGTTATACTGATCTAACTCCTGCTGTAGATGCACCGAAGCTACCGCCTCTCCGGGAGGTGGGGCACTCCCATCGATGTAGATAGTGTCTCCACTAAGCGCTACAGCAGTGCAGCTGTTGTGAGTGTAGCTAAACCCTTAGATTTATTCAGCATGGTGCAAAGCAGCCTTCTGGCAACCACCCCCAGAGCGGGAACGAAGAGGAGGAATGTCTGCAGTGTAATTACAGCACTGTAGGGAGGAAGATTAAACAGGAGACAGGGGCATGGACATGGAGGGCGCAGAAGGGTGTGTGTGTGTGTGTGTGGTGGGGGCAGCTTAGGGACTAAAGCAGGACAAACCAGGACTCGGTGACCCAAATAAAGACAGGATCTCAAACTGTGCAGTCCTTGTCCTGGGGTGGGGGGTAACCGGGTTAGGGGCCCAACAGCGCAGCCGACCCCAGCGGCTTTCGATGCCCCTCCCCCAGCCCTGATCCCCTTCACATTAGGGTTACCATATTTTAATTTAAAAAAAGGAGGACACTCCACGGGGCCCCGGCCCTGCCCCAACTCCGCCTCTTCCCCGCCCCAACTCCGCCCCTTCCCCCAAAGTCCCCGCCCCAACTCTGCCCCCTCCCCTGAACGCTCCGCTACCCTGCTCCTCCCCCTCCCCTGCTTCCCGTGAATCAAATGTTCGCGGGAAGCCTGAAACTGGGAGGCAGCAGGTAAGCTGGGGCTGGGGCTGGGGCGGGGAGCGGCCCGGCCCAGTCCAGTCCGGCCCCCCCGGCCGAGCGGCTCCCTCCAGCGGCTGGCCGGCCCAGGCCAACAGGCTCTGGCCCCAGCGTCTCCCGCCCGGCTCGGCTCGGGCCCTGGGGTGCCGGCCCTGGTTCCGGCCGAGCGGCTCCGGCCCGCCCTGACCCCCAGCTGAGCACCGCCGGCCCCAGCGGCCGAGCACCACGACCCCTCCCTCCCTATTTTCCCGGACATGTCCGGCTTTTTGGGATTTCCTCCCGGACGGGGATTTGAGGCCCAAAAAGCCGGACATGTCCGGGAAAATCCGGACGTATGGTAACCCTACTTCACATCCAAAGCCCTTTCTGTCCCTCCCACTGCCTCCCCCCCCCCCCCCCCCCCCCCCCCCCCCCCC